TATATTATATATTTAGACTAAGGTGAACCCGAAATTGTTCAAACAAATAGATATGAAGCTCTTACCATTCAAGAGTAGTAAAAACAACACTATTCTGAAAGTGTGCTTCGTATCGCTGTACATTTGTAAGTATAAATATGATCCGGATTTCATAGATTGCTCCATCGTGTGTGTCTCGGTCTCTGATTTCCCCGTCCGACTGTCCAGGTTACGCCTCTGTAGGTAGGCTATTGTTGTTCAAAGATTTTCGGTTTCTTTTTTCGGTTATATCCGCATGTCTGAATATTCGAGTCTCCTCGTGACATGTCAACAACATTTCTGCCGTCTGCCGTTTCTCATCCCCACATCCGACTGAACACTCAGCTAACCATACTATAGGCTACAGTAGGCTACGTGACTGCCACTCGCTGAAATATGAAGTTCTAAAGCAGTCCATGCGATCCGAGAAAGTAGTGACTGGCGGGCGATGATTTCACCACAGGGTGTCACTAAACAACCAATCAGTACTACAGTGTGTGAGGGACCTGCCTGAAGCTCATGTTCACGTACGTAGATCAGAACAAAATACCTCTATATTTAATTGATTCAAATGTGACAATTTTACTATATGTAAATAGCATTTTATGATGAAATTACCAATTAAAGGGGCACTTCACTGGCAACCCTGTTGAAAAAACAAGCATATGCTGGTTAGGTATGTTTTGACGCTGGGATGCTGGTCCTTTGCTGGTTTATGCTGGTCATGTGCCGGCAAAGGACCAGCATAAACCAGCAAAGGACCAGTTTAAACCAGCAAAGGACCAGCATAAACCAGCAAAGGACCAGCATAAACCAGCAAAGGACCAGCATAAACCAGCAAAGGACCAGCATAAACCAGCAAAGGACCAGCATAAACCAGCAAAGGACCAGCATAAACCAGCAAAGGATCAGCTTAAACCAGCAAAGGACCAGTTTAAACCAGCAAAGGACCAGCATAAAGCAGCAAAGGACCAGCTTAAACCAGCAAAGGACCAGTTTAAACCAGCAAAGGACCAGCATAAACCAGCAAAGGTCCAGCTTAAACCAGCATCCCAGCGTCAAAACATACCTAACCAGCATATGCTGGTTTTTTCAACAGGGAAAACGGGCTTTCATTAAAAAATGTTCTAATTGGCTGCCTAGTAGAAAAAATAGGTAGGAAAACGTCAACACCCTCAATGCACCCTCTGTCTATCTTTTTATTTGTAAAAAATATTATTAACTTTTTATTTTTGTACCGCTTCACGTTTTTTAATGTACTGAATAATTATTTCTCTGACCCGGAAGTCGTCATAGATTGGTGAACTTCTACAGTCGTACAAGGTTGTGGCTTGAAGGGATTCAGCAAAAACCGGAAGCTAGCAATAAATTTAATTTTCTACCTAGTTAGATTGTGTTTTATTAACGTCTACACCTACCCCTTACAATAATGCAAAAATAGTAATTATTGTTGTATACTGTGAGAAAAATTACGCTATATTGATGTGCACGCGTGCCCAGTAGTTTTTGCTGTATGCCTTCTAGCCTTAACGGTCGTACAAGGTCGTCTTTGCATTTTCATTTGATGATGAAGAGCATTGTGAAGATTTACTGCTGATGGCAGAAAGAGGCAGACGAGCTGAAAGAAAAAAAAAACATAAGAGAGTAAAAATAAACGAGTATGAATCAAGATCCACCATAGCATTCCCGCGACTTTGCACAAGAAGAAAAACAGCAGTCAGAAAAGAGAAAGAAGTCAAATTCACCATCACTCCCTCAGAAACACCCTCACAACAGTGTTTACTCTGTTTTAATGCCAAGGTAATATCACTCAAAATAGTGTTAAGTGTACATAATTGTTTTGACGTGTTTAACGATGTTAATAACAGTGAAAGTGCATCATCACAGTCTGTGAATGCTTCTCTTCTCGATGGTTCATCCAGCAGCAGGCGCTCGGCCTTGTTACTGTTATATGCATCACATACAGGTAAAATATGAGGATTTTAGGAAACACTGATCCAGGCCTCTACACTTCTGTTTCTCCAGAATAAAAGAGAAAAAACGAATGTTTCAACTATAATAATAAAAAAAAAAAGTTATTTCGCCAAAGTACCAAAATCTGCAATCCAAAAAAGAGAGAATTTGTTATAAACTCAGTATTTCTCATCAAATTTTCCAATCACCAAGATCTTGTTTTAAACTCAAGTATTACTCATCAAATTAAAAAAAATAAAAATAAAATTTCTCAGGTAAACAAATGCAAATTTCTCTAAACGAACAATTACATTTACAGGTTACTGTGTTTTCTCATTAACATTCAACTGATGAATTTTGCTGTAACAACACATGCAAACATTATGGATACACTCCAAAAACATACCCTGCAATATTTGTTTTGCACAGAATCTGTACAGAAATGTGTGTGTCAATAATTTGTGGGTGAAGTGTTTTTTTTTTTTTTCTCCTAGTATGATAAACTCCTCGCGTGCGCATTGATAGTTCATGCTATCACTGCATGATATAGCTTATGCAATGAAAGTTAGAATGACCACAACAGTCAAGATATGAGTATAAATTCTGTATGACCTTTAATATCTTTTTATACTTGGCTCATATGACAGAATTAAGCAATATCGCACAAGCAAGCGTGCTCTTTTCCTCAACATCAGCATGATCAGCAAATGTGATATTGATTTTATGCAACAGTTCAACAAAAAAGAACTTAATATTGAGTTACATTTTAGAAATAATATTGTTTGTATTTGCTCTGTCACAATCCTGCCTACTGTGTAGGAACGTTGAGCGAAGGAGCGAGGAGACGTGGGAGAATTTGTGACGGAACAGTCTTTATTAATCCAAAAAAGACACTCAAGATGGAACACACACGGAGCACAAGGGAGTTGACGTTTAAGACAGGACATGGAGCACATGGGGGAGGGAAACAAACACAAAACAGTCCATGGGCGTGAAATTACTCCAGCTTTGGGAACCTAGCAAAATTACTGTTTACAAAATCTAAACAAAAATCTAAAAATTTTTTTTGGTCAACATTGCACACCCCTAGTCAGAAGTCAAATATGATTGACAGCTCACAACACTAAATAAAACACCAGCAGATACTGATTTCTAATCCAATATTTCACTCTTTTATTAGTTTTCACAGAAGGCCAAAATTAATTTGAAAATGTAAGATCAGCAAAAGCTTGTTGATTTTCGTGATGTTAAAGGAGATGGACGTGTGAGCGGAACCTAGCTGAGGTTGAGGGAGGACACAACCAGATAAATATCACAGTTCAGTCGGGAGTGTTTTCAGACATTTTAAGCATCACTGTTGTGGGTTTTTCAGTGAACCGATGAAGAAAATGTTTCTTATTACTGAACCAGTTTTGACGAGTTTGTCTTTTCATATGATTTGTGGACTAAAACCGTTAAAGATGTTTTGGATTGTTTCATTCTGTTTGTGTTTGTGGCGTCTGGATGGTGAGTTTGAAATGTGTTTTTATGACTTCATTTGCTTCTGTTCTGGTAGCATGTAATAAATTACTGGTTAAATTAGTCAGAGGATTAACATTCACTGTTATTCTCATATAGAAATGCAACATGATACTAATTTGAGATCAAGTTTGAATTCAAGTTATTCAGGTTATTCTGTTAGTTATTGATTCCATTAAATATGAAGCTCAAATAACCAACAGCATTTGTGTTGTTGTATTAAAATTCATTCAAGTTAGCTATTTTTTCATATAGAACTCTTGTCAAAACTCTTGTATAAATCTCTTGTCATTGATCATCTTTTGTCATCTTTTTGTACTGCTGTAGAATATTGTTATTATTATTATTAATAGTATTTTATTGAAGCTTCATCAAATCAACATCAAATGAGTTTAAAGCTTAATCTGTAAAAAAATCTGTTCTTCAGGTGTGTTTGGTGATGAAGTGGAGTCGGTGTCAGTGGTGGAGGGACACAAGGTCACTCTAAACTCTGGTCTTACTGAAATGAAGGATGATGATGTGATTCAGTGGAGGTTTTGGATTGAAAACACTTTAATCGCTGAAATCAATAAAAGGGCCGACAGCATGTCTGTATATGAGGATGTTCTTGATGGGAGATTCAGAGACAGACTGAAGCTGGACAATCAAACTGGATCTCTGACCATCACAAACATCAGAACTGAACATTCTGGACGCTATAAACTACAGACCAACAGTGTGAGAAAGTGTTTCAAAATCACTGTATTTGGTGGTAAGTTATGTCACCTGCTTTATGTTTTAATCAGTACAAAGATGCAATTAATAATTCAAACTCCATTTTGCTTCTGTTGATTCACGATGATATTTATTTCAAATTTAAACTTCAAACTATTTGCTTTAGTAAACCATCAAATAATCACGTTTATCCTTGTTTCTGATTGTTCTCTTTCTGTTTGGTGTTACAGTGAAGTCAGTGTCAGTGAAGGAGGGAGATTCAGTCACTCTAAACTCTGGTCTTACTGAAATAATGGATGATGATGAGATTCAGTGGTGGTTTCGGAGTGAAAACGCTTTAATAGCTGAAATCAATACACGGGTTGACAGCATGACTGTATTTGATGATGTTCTTGATGGGAGATTCAGAGACAGACTGAAGCTGAACAATCAAACTGGATCTCTGACTATCACAAACATCAGAATCACAAACTTTGGAGTTTATCAGCTACATAACAATTATATTATGGGGATTATGTTCTTTCTCCGTGTCCATAGTGAGTTCAATATCAGTTTCATCTGTTTTAATTTTTTATTTAAAGATGCAATAATTAATCCACACAGCATGTTGCTTCTTTTGTGTCTGTTCTGTTGCATGATATTATTAATTGCACATTTAAATATCTATTTACTTTCATAAACCATCTTAAAGTTGTTTAACAGTATTAATCTGTGACAAACCCTGTTTGTTTTGTGTGTGTTTTGTTGATCCAGATGAAATATCAGTGATGGAGGTAGATTCAGTCACTCTAAACAATCATCTTACTGAAATACTGAGTGGTGTTGGGATTCAGTGGACGTTTCGGAGTGAAAACACTTTAATAGCTGAAATCAATAAACCGACCGACATATTCACTGTATTTGATGATGTTCTTGATGGGAGATTGAGAAACAGACTGAAGCTGAACAATCAAACTGGATCTCTGACCATCACAAACACCACAACTGAACATGCTGGAGATTATGAACAAATGACTAACAAACTGACTGCGATTTTCAGTCTCACTGTCTATGGTGAGTTTTATTGGTTTCATTTATTTATTGCAGCATTATTAAAGTAAATCTAAGGAAGTATCTAATTACTTAGAATTACAAATCAGCTTTTTTAACTTTATATTTAACTTTCTATTAAATTGTTTTTAAATGCTCTTCTTTTGATCATTCTTGGTTCCTCTCAATGTTTTTTCCACAAGCTTGACTATATTCATTCATCTTCAAATATCTTTATTCTTTCGTGTTTTCAGCTCGTCTGCCGGTTCCTGTCATCAGCAGTAACTCTTCACAATGTTCTTCATCATCATCATCATCATCATCATCTTGTTCATTGGTGTGTTCAGTGGTGAATGTGGGTCATGTGACTCTCTCCTGGTACAAAGGAAACAGTTTATTGTCCAGCATCAGTGTGTCTGATCTCAGCATCAGTCTCTCTCTACCTCTGGAGGTGGAATATCAGGATAAAAACACCTACAGCTGTGTGCTCAACAATCCCATCAGCAACCAGACTCAACATCTGGACATCAGTCAACTCTGTCACACATGTTCAGGTACAGCAGCTGATATTAGTTGATGATATTAACGTTTATTGACTGAGCTGATCTCAGTCTGATGTTTTTATTCCTCAGACTCTGTCCACTGTTGTGGTTCTACTGAAGCTGTGATCCGATTGGTCCTCTCTGCTCTGGTGGGCGTGGCTACTGTCATTCTTCTGGTTTATGACATCAGATCCAGAAGAGCTGAACAAGATCAAGCACAGATTCACACATCAGGGATATGATTGATGTCATTTCTCACTAATTGTTTTGCATATGTAAATTGTTGTGAGATTTATTAATTTATGGCTGTATATCTTGATCTTTTTCAGGAAGTATTGAAATCTAAAGCAGCTCATGCTCTCTCTGCAATTTTAAGTGTCTACATTTTAAAAAATCTAGTTTGAAAGACTTTATTGTTTATATTTCCCACATATGAGTAGAGACACACATATCTTTCTTTACTACTGCTGTACATCTGTAATATGTATTTTCTGACCATTATCCATAACGTTTTCTCACTCTGAGGTTCAAGAGTCTCTTCATGTTTTATTACATTTATGATGTCGAGCGCCTCTTAGAGGAATACATTATGTACATTTGAATGAGTTCAGCAGAGCAATACATATATATATACACAGGTTTACAGTATTTATATTTGTAAATGTACATTATTGTTAAGCTCATGGGTTTTTTTTTCTTCTAAAACATTTCTTTTTACATTTATTATTAAATTGTTATTTTGGCACCTCTGCAAGATTTTCTTTAGTAAGCCATAACCTATAGGCTATACAGCTAAAACATGATTACTATTTATATTACTGGCTATTTTTCCTAATAGTATTATAAAATTAAAGTTTAGAAAAAAAAAAATAATGAATGGAAAATGAATAATTAATAATCACAGTCTGTGAATGTTTCTCCTCTCGAAAGTTCATCCAGCAGGAGGCGTTCAGCTTTTTTTTTTTTTGAGATGTGCAAAAAATGTTGTTTAATGTTTTGAGTGTATGTTTTCCAGTCCTCTTCACGTTACCTATGTTGTCAATATTTAAAATATGAGGGTTATTGTGTAAGTTCATCATCATTGTAACTTGAATTGCAGAAAACTTTTCAGGATTTCTCCAGAAGAAAAGCCCAAGGTAAACTCACGTGCTTCACCTAGAGTTTCAAAACTAAAGCTACTGTGCTCAAACTCAGCAATATACCAGAGTCTGCAATCAAAAGTTCATCATGAACTTTAGCATTTCTCATCAGATTTTCCCAAGACTATATCTCTCAGTTTATCAAATGCCAGTGTTTCTAAATGAACATTTACAGGTTGCTGTATTATTTTATTAACTTGCACTCATGAATTTTGTTGTAACAACACTGCAAATGTGATTCAGTGTTTTTTGTTTCAAATGGACCCTGCAGTGGTTTTCCTCTTTGTTTTATCTGTACAGAAATGTGGCTTGATCTGCTGGACGTTTGTGTGTGTTAATAGTTTGTGGGTGAAGCATTTCCCCCCCTTCTAGTACGATAAACTAGTGCAGTTAAAGATCAATTAATGCAGTTAAATAACCACAAAATTTAAGATATTGCAGCGAAAATCTGTATGACTTTAATAGCTTTTATATTTATATCATATGACGTAGTTAAGGAATATGGCATGAGCAAGTGTTTGTGGCGTCTGGTAAGTTTTAAATGTGTTTGTATGGCTTCAGTTGCTTCTGTTCTGGAACCATGTTATAAATGACTGTGCTTTTACTGTAAGATTAAGTTTGAATTCTGTTCATTAGCTAGTAGGAAGTGATTCAACTGATTCACCTCTCGTTTAAATGAGTAGTTTAAGTGGAGGCTTCATCCAACATCAAGTGATTTTGTGGCTTGTTTTGTGTGGGCTAGATATGACGTGTGTGCAACAAACCAGTTTTGCTATTTCTGAGATGAGGCCCGCATCTGGTCCTTTTGTGGCTGACTTCCGGTAGCCACAGGTAGAACTAAAAGTGATCTGGATGAAGACACAATCATCATAGGGAGAACGATTTTAAATCAAATATTGTATCATTTATTATTAGAGTTGGTGGTTCTGCTGGGCCCTTATTGTGCCAACCACAGCACTCGGGATTTTGTTTCTGTTTTTCCTTCATGTTCCAAGTATTTGCTCATTTTCAGTTTTTGTTTTTGTTCCTTAAAGCAGCACCATGTAACTTTTTCTGTGTTCAAAATTGCAAATTACTCTAGACAAACATTTGTGTGTTTTTTTTTATCGCTGAAGTGTGTTGAAATTTCTTCTTCTGCATTCTACTGTACGGACTTCAGTCTGAGGCTTAATCATTTCACTTTTGGTGTGAAAAGGCTTTTATATTTTCCAAAAATAGAACTTTTTTATTTTAAAAACAAACAAGCAAGCCCTGTCCAGATGTAAAAAGTAATGCAAAAGTAACGTAAAGCATTACTTTCCATAAAAAGTAACTAAGTAACGTAATTAGTTACTTTTTTATGGAGTAACGCAATATTGTAATGCATTACTTTTAAAAGTTACTTTCCCCAACACTGATGCTTGATACATTACTTTACCCACGTACCCAACACTCCCCTAAACCCTCTTTTACAAAATGTTTTTTTCTTTAATGGAGACCCAGTATGTCATGGTCAGCAGCAGTTCTCCCATCTCCAGCTGATTTTTGAGCGTTTAGTGCTGCAGCAGATGCTCTGCGCTTTTATTGTCTCCATCTCTGAGAATCCTTTATTTTACTGAGACTAAAATAGGTCTAATAGTGCTATTCTTTTAGTAGTCCTAACCCAGAAAACAAAAAACAAAATTGAGTCATGCATTGTCCCACAGAAATGTTCTTTGGTAAAATGGTGCTTGTAGCGAGCATTACTTGAAACGTTTTTACTTTTTGTTCTTCAAAATAAATTGCACCCAGTCATGCCTTACAGGGAACTGTTGTGATTTTCATATCTGTTTTTAGTCTGTCAAAGCATAGCAGATATGATGCTTCATTGCTCAGATTTGTTTTTCTGTTATACATATTGTAGGACTATGCATATAAATATTATAGTTTTAGTGACTCATCATGATTCATGACTGATTTAGCCAATTAATCACATTCTTAAAGGGACTGTTCACTCAAAATGAAAATCCTGTCATCTTTTACGCATAATGATAATAATAATAATAAACAACAACAACAGATGGTCACATAGTACAGAATCTACGTGCAGATCTTTAACGAATTAAAAAAAAAACAGTTGCAAACAATTTTTTAAAGAAATAAAGCAGGATTTTTACAAGCAATTGTAAGCAATACTGAGCTCTCTGGATTGTAATATCGGTACTAACAAGACTTAACATTGAAATGTTTAACTATAAAATCTTTGAATAAAGCAGATGCAAGTCAGAAAACAAAAGTTGTGGATGTGATATTTACTTGTACATAAAAGGACTGATTTCATTTGATGTGCTATATTATATCCTTACGAAGTTAAACGCAAAATATTCTATTCAAAAAAGTCTATTCAAATGGATAATTCTTCTTTAAAGGGGTCATCGGATGCAAAATTCACTTTACATGTTGTTTGAACATAAACGTGTGTTGGAAGTGTGTGTACACATCCACCCTATAATTATAAAGATCCACCCAGTGCTTTTTTTTTTTTATCCCTATTTTAAAGAACAGCCCTTTCTTCGGATGCAAAATTCACTTTACAAGTTGTTTGAACTTAAATATGTGTTGGAAGTGTGTGTACACATCCATCCTATAATGATAAAAATCCACTCTGTTTTTTTTTAAATCCCTATTTTAAAATCCCCTTTCTCAAATCAGGCTGTTCTGAGATTCCTGTCAGAACGACGTAGTTCTGTACAGGCCCCTCCCACGATAGTTGATTGACAAGGCTGACTTACCTTAGACCCGCCCTGAGTGAGCTGTCCGCCATTGTGTCGACTCCGGTGCAGGGGAAGACAAGAATGTCTCCTAAGCGATTGAAGTGTTTTGTTGTTGGATGTAATAATGAACATAACAGTCGTCATTTACTCCCGACATCTGAGCCGCTGAAGACACAGAGGATTAACGTTACTTTCGCTTTGAAGTGAATGCGCCGATCCCCGATCTGCCTAAATGCGTCTATGTTCGCGCGAATCATTCGTGATCCAGCTTCATCTACAGAAGAAGTGAGTATAAGGGTTTTTTATGAATCTTTGCAAATTGCCTTTCCTAATAATGTGCTAGTTAGCAAGTTTCGTGGCTAAATGTGGCTAAAGTTTACAGTCGGTTCGTCACCCCACGGAAGAGAGGGACGGGGTCAGCAGAGCTCATTAGCATGTAAAGCGACACGCAAGGAAACGGCTTGCTGAAAACAGAGAGACTTTTCATTAAGACCCTAAAGAATCATATCAACTTGTGGAAAATGGGCATCCGATGACCCCTTTAAATCTTTCAAATTGTGCCAACTGTTTTGGTTTTACTGAAACTTGATGGGTCAAAGATAGTGGCCTTAAAACATACTTGGACACATTTAGACATTTAGCAGACGCTTTTATCCAAAGCGACTTACAAATGAGGACAATAAAAGCAATCAAAATCAACAAAAGAGCAATGATATGCAAGTGCTACAACAAGTCTCAGTTAGCTTAATGCAGTACACGTAGCAAGTTTTTTTTAAAATCATATAATAAATAAAAAGAAAACAGAATAGAAAAAGAATAGAGAAAGTTAGTGTTAGAGGCCTTTTTTTACTTTTGTTAATTGTATAATAAATAAACAGAAAAGAAAGACAGAATACAAAAAGATTAGAGAAGCAAGTGTCAGTTTTTTTTTATAAAGAAAATAAGCAGGTAGTAAATAAATAGTGCAAGTCTGTTCTGAAATTTTTTTAATTTTTTTTTATAAAGAATAGAATTAGAATAGAGAGTGCTAGTGTTAGAGGGTCAAATAAAGATGGAAGAGATGTGTTTTTAGCGGATTCTTGAAGATGGCTAAGGACTCAGCTGCTCGGACTGAGTTGACATTAAAACACTCGGACACTTAAAACACATTAAAATATAATATATTTTAGGGAGCCGACCACACTTCAACGACAACAACGTAAACAAACGTTACTGCGCATGCGTGCTTTTGTGGCCCAAACTTAACTTCCGGTAGACTTCCAAGTAGAATCAATAACAACAGCTAAGTAGTCCCTCTAGAGTAGACTATTTTTGACAACAAGCAAAATATTGCTGCGTAAATCAGGCTGACTTACTGAAAATGCAAATTCA